TACTTCAAATGCAAAATGATGATATAAAACCATGATAAAAATGCACTTTTAAGTAATAACCATAAGGCGTGGTTCCTAGGGTGGAACAGAGGGCAGACGCAACTCTTAGATGAGTTGACTCTTGGAAAAGTGGTGAGCTCGTGATCATATTAAGATACTTAGATAATGATTGTTGCACTTAGACATGGAAATTTTCGTTTAAGGGGGTGTTTTAAGCCTTGGTATGAGGCTTGATAAATCATTCTAGATCGAGTATGATTGATGCGCTCGAAGGGAAATGTTGTCCCAAAGACAAGTGTTAACACTCTTCAGATGTGATGTGGCAAACCATCTGGTTGTAGTAATCTTTTTATATGAGAAAACGTGTGCTTTGATGACTCTAGTGATTGAAAGGTTTGGCAAATACCTGTAAACTTGGTTGAAGATGCTCTTGAAATGGTAAGTTTGGAAAAGCTGCAAGATACAAGTTTGTGCTGAAGAAGTAAGAAAACAGTTGTCTCACATGAATGGTAAAGAGGGTGATTATTGGATTTGTTATCATTAATATGTAGTAACTATTAATATACAGCACCATTCAGTGACAAATACAACAGTTGTAGCTGGAGCTACACCAACCATGTGCACCCATCCCAAATGTCAAAGGTTGGCAGCCACCATTGTTAAAAAAAAAGCTGGAGGTAGTGGCACCATTCTTGCCTATAAATAAGCACCAAGAGAGCAAAAAATATGAGAGAGATTATGAGTGCAGTAGAGAAACCAATAGAGAAAGTGAAGGGCTGCAATGGCGGCAACCTTGTTGCAAGTGCAGTAAGAGAGTTAGGAGTAGAGTTTGAGTAAAGTGATTCTCCTCCTCTATATATGTTGTAATCCTTTCTCTATCTCTAATAATATGAAACTCTTCCATGGATGTAGGTGATTTGTCAAACTATGTTAAATATTATGTCACAATGTGTTTAACCTCAAATAGCAAACTATCAAAACACTACCGATTCGTACATGAGAGCTGGAATTCCCTACATGAACTTTTGTGGTGGAACAGCAGCTACTTTCTTCTCCCATAACCCCTTCTTCATCTCATGTTGCTAATATATCCTTTATTTTTTCACAGCAGTATACTTTAATAATTTCTTCCTGGTTTCATCCATAACAAGCAAAGCGATTCAGAACGGAAATCATACCACTAGATGGCAATGGTGATGAAGCTCAAAAAGACCAAGAAGATGAAAGCAAGCTCTCCATGCTATCACATTCCTTGATGTTTGTTGATCATGACATCCAATTCTGTTGCATATTTCAATGATAAAACATCGCACCAAACTGAAAATCTCTACTACTGATTCAGAAATGATTCAAACTCGAGTGCTTTACTTGTGTAAAAATTTGTATTCATTATCTTATATTCATATTTGTTCCACAATTGGGCAAAAATTTTGTCCATGCCCAGTGCTTAAGATTTAAGAAACGCTGCGAAGTCAAAGACTTGTTCAAAATGGCATTCCAAAGTTTCTGACTTCCTCGAGCAAGCCACTTCTGTTCTTTTTATTATAATTAGAGGATAAAATAAGAATCTAGGACTATCTATCTTTCCTTTATTTTCTCTTTTATATTTATAAGAAATGGCATGCTCTCGCACTACCACAGGCTTAGAAAACAAATATATGTGATAGTATTATAATTGTGAACCAGCATTAGATAAATAATAGAAACTAAAGGTATGATGGAGCCAATATTTTATAATGAAAAAAATTGTATTGATAATTAAAAACATATAGACTGAACAAAATAATTTGTAGCAATCTACAGTGTTTTGTGAGGAAATATACAATGCTTTCTCCACATGATTTAGCTTTTTTATTAATAAAAAAATTACAAAACTAAATTTTCTACTAACTTAATATTAAAAAAATAGGCAAAAATAATTTTAGAAGGAAAAAAAACTCATGAGAAAAAACATTGTAGCAGTTGACAATGTTTCGTAAGGAAAACTATAGTGCTTTCCCCAATAAAATCAACAAAGATAATTTTAGAAAAAAAATAGAAAAACCATTTAGAAAAATATTGTAGCAATATACATTGTTTTGTAATGATAACTACAACGCTTTCTGACGTGACCAAAAGATTGATATCTTCTTCCAAATGTAGGAGTGTCGAAGTAATAAATAACCAAGCAAGACTGGGATCGAACCACATGAAAGTTAATTATATAAATTATAGATAATAATAATAATAATACAACAACAACAACAACAAAAGTAATAATAATAATAATAATACAGAAGAAAAAATTGATAAGAACTTTGGGATGGAAGATTAACTCTGACATAATAAACTTAACATAATAAAAGAAAGAAAAATAAAATAAATAAAATAAAAACATAAATAAGATAAAAGCTAACTAAGTAAAGAAAAGAAAATGAAAGGCATAAACTTGATATTAATGAAAGCAAAATATAAGTAATACAAAGAAAGAAAGTAAGAGTTTGATCTTAATCTGGAAACCAAGATGTCTAAATACATGGCAAATGCCTCCTTTTATATGCCAAAATTAAGAACTATTGATTTGATGATTAATTGATGAGTGAGTAGCCAACTCTTGACTTGATGACAATCTTTATATTCTTTTGTCTAAATAAAACATATTGATAATATCATAATTGAACCAAACCTCACACTAAAAGTTATAGGAAATTATCTTAGCTTTTTAAGATAAAAAATTTGAGGTTATTTGGACTTCTAGAACTCTAGATATGGATTGAACACTGAATAGTGTCTGGGCTCTATAACAAATTTAGACTTCTTTATTGTTGCTATAATTTAAACTTGAAAATGGTTTTCTTAAAACCAGACCTCTACATGAAAGTTATAGGCATATATCTTACCTTTCTATTCATATCAAGTAAACTTAAATTCAAGATCTACAGCTCCAGATATGACCTAATTATCAAATAGTATTCCAGTTTGGACTGCACTAGCATCTCTTTTTTAAGTTTGACCATTTCTTTATCCTTTCAATTTCATTTTTAAATTTATCAATTAATCCTTTTATTTATGTGATAGACTTGCATTTAAGATGAATATTTACCACAAATTAAAGGTATCTTACTATCTTATATTGTTAGATATGTTATTATAAAATATATTTTAATTAAAGAGTCATTGATACTTCAAGTGCAAAAATAATAATGTAAAACTTTGATAAAAATGCACTTTAAGGTGCTAATCACTTCCCTCGTATGATTTAGTTTTATTGTAATTATAATTCTCAATCAACTTAAGACAAAGATAATTTTGGAAAATATCATAAACAAAATCATATGGGAAAACATTGCAGCAATTCACAGTGTTTTAAAGAAAAAAATTATAGAACTAAATTTTTAATTTGTTCAATATTAAAAAAAAATAACAGAGATAATATAAAAAAACAAATAACAATGTTTTCCTCATATGATTTAGTTTTATTATAATTATAATTTTTAACTAACTCAATATTAAAAAAAATTGACAAAAATAATTTTGAAAAAAATCATTAAAAAAAATCATGTGAGAAAACGCTGCAACAATTTACAATGTTTTAAACAAAGACAAATCATAAAGTTAAATTTTCAATCAACTTAATAATAAAAAAAATCAATAGAGATAATTTTTTTTTTAAAATATAACAAAAAAAATGAAAGAAAAAACTATATTAAAAACACTATAGCAATTCATAGTGTTTTGTAATAAAAGCTATAATGCTTCCCTACATGATTTAGCTCTATTTGTAATGACTTATAATTGTAATTTTCAGCCATCTCAATATTAAAAAAATAAAATTAAGAACGATAATTTTAAAAAAATCATAAGAAAAAAAACCATTTGGAGAGACACTGTTTCAATTTATAATGTTTTTTTAGGAAATCTGCAATGCTTTCTGCACATGATTAAATTTTATTATAAAGTTAAATTTTAACCAACTCAATATTAAAAAAAAATTAATACAGATAATTTTAGAAAAAAATATTATAAAAAAAAAGAAAATACAAAAGAAACTAGACAAAAACTATGTGAGGAAAAACTATATCAATCCATAATGTTTTGTGAGGAAAGTTACATTGTTTTCCCTACATGATTTAGCCTTACTTGTATTTACTTGTAATTGTAATTCTTAACAAGCTTAATATTTAAAAAATAAAATTCACAAAAACAATGTTAGAAAAAAAACATAACAAAACAAAAAAAATCTATATGGAAAAAAAATATTATAGCAATACATAGTAATTTGTAAGGAAAGCTATAGTGTTTTTCTTATATATTGTAATTGTAATTATTAACCTATTTAATTTTAAAAAATAAAATTATAAAAAGGTAAAAAAAAATATGTGGAGAAATAATGTAGCAATCAACAATATTTAAAAAAAATTATAAAATTAAATTCTTAATTAGCTTAATATGAAAAAAAAAAAATCAAAAAATATAATTTTGAAAAATAAAAAAATAAAATATAAAAACCATGTAGGAAAACACCATATCATTTTATAATATTTTAAAGAAAAAAATTACAAAATAAAATTTCTAACCAGTTTACTATTAAAAATATAAAATTCAAAAAAAATAATTTTAAGAAAAGAAAGAAAAGGGGAAGCACTCTTTTTTTTTAAAAAAAAAGGTGATACACTGTGAGTGAAAAAATAAAAAAAAAAACAAGAAAAAGAAGAAGAAAGAAGTGCAAAAAAAAAAAAGTTAAAAAAACTGAAAAAATAAAGTAATACACTATATAGGAAATATTAAGGTTACATGTGAATAGTGATTCCCGGTACTTTGAAAAAATAATTTATTACTATTGAGAAAATAATTTATTACTAGTGGGTGATTTAAGGTGACTTATAACACTGTGTAGATGTATTCTTTTACTGGGTTACTTTAATGATAAATTAATATAATGTTTTTTTAGATGTTCATGGAGGAGAAATTTGATGGGATGGATATATAATGTTAAATTCTAATTACAAAATAATAATAATTGAAAAAGATAATTTGTGCTCATTATATATAAACTGGCAATATAAACAAAGAACAATAATCAAAGTAGAGTAAACATATCTCTTGAGCCTACCAATAATTAAATTTCCTATTATTAATATTTTAAATTATTATTCCAGTTCGACGTGAGCAACCCTGCACTCATCCACGCCTGCTCAGAACCCGCAAAACCGCCTGCATCAACGTAGATAAATTGAGAATTTTCCTGTCTTGTATACACACAACGATTGATTCTAATTCATTAAACTTAAATTAAAAGAAAATTGAGAGATTCAGAAAGAACGATGCTTACCCATCTTGTCCAAACATTACGAAAGGACGAAGGACATCCTTGGCGTTAGGATGCTCCCACTCCACTACTGACTCCTACCATTCTTTTGGTTTTATACATATTACTCTAAGAGAAGGGGGAGGAGATGGCTGCCCATTTTCAAGTAACGGAAGACAAATTCCCATCCTCTTCATCTTCTCACAATTCCATACTCCAATTACTTGGAGAGAATCGCAAATCAGTTTTGCATTACAAATGCTTTTTAGTTCTGGTAAATCTCTCAATTGCAGAGCTCCCACCTTTGGGAGTTTGAATTCGGTGTTTCTGATGCTGCTTTCTTCACCCATATCCCCTTCTTCAACCGATCTTGCTCCACCTATTATCTCCTCCATTTTCTCACACTGTTCAACATCAATCCTTTCCAGGTTTACAAGGTATGGCAACAAGACAGGAGGGAACAACTTCTTCATACCCATACATCCAGAAAAACATAACCATTTAAGACCAGAAAATATACCATTATAAGATGGAGATGGCTGTGGTAGTGGAGCAGAGCATAACCAAGAAGATGAAACCAAGCTCTCCATGCTATTGCAATTCAAAATCTTGATATACTCCAGTTCAGTTGCATACTTTAATGACAAAACATCGCCTAAACTTCTCGCATTGATACATTCACAAATTAGTTGTTGAATGTCATTTGAGGAGATGACCTGAAAATCTCCATCTTTATTGATATTCAAATTACCCAACACAACCATTTTACTTCCGGGACCACTGTACTTTAATTCCCTAAATTCGTCTTCCCTGAACTGTCCTATAGCAATTTTGTATGTGCTTAGTGATTGGGTCTCATCCCGAGATTTGAAATACTCCACGTAGTTAGAGTGATCTTCAAAATGGCATTCCAAACTTTCCAACTTCCTCAAGCATCCTACTTCCTTTCCTTCAACTGTTACTGGAGCATATCTTTCCACCTGCATACTTGTTTCCCCCCATCTACGATCACTAAGAATCTGTTCCTCTAGTTTAAAGACTTGCAGGTGAGAGAGTTTAGGTAATATCCCACAGGGAAACTTATTTTCACCACATCCATTCATTCTTAGATACCTCAGGCTGGATAGACATTCCATGCCATGAGGAATCTCTTCAAGTGGAGCACGAGCGAGATCTAACCTCTTCAGTGCCCTGAGCTTTTTCAATGTTGGTACACGGCTTAACCTCCGACAATGTTTGAGCAACAGTGAAGTGAGACCCACCAAATCAGAGACAGAATCAGGCAAACATTCAATAGCTGTTTCAGACAGATCGAGGACCTTGAGCCCATGCATTTGCTCGAAAAATGAACCCGCAATGAATCGCAACCTATGATTACTACACAGCAATAAGGTTGACAGATTTGGACACCTCACTGAATGGCTGGAACAAATCTCTTCAATTTGGTTGTGCATTAGTGAAACGGTCGTAAGTTTGTCTGTCCACTCCTCTGTATCCGGCAATTCTTTTAATTGTGCACCGGCTTTAACAATGGCTCTAGAGTTCTCTTCCAGTATTTGGATGGCCATGTCCCTAATCAAGTCATGCATCATTACAGCACCACCAAGACGTTTTCTTTCCAATAGGCAGACTTTTTCAAGTTTATCAAGCATGGAATGGCCTTCATCAAATTCTGCCTTCCTACTCGTCAGCCCTTGTATCACTCCCATATCAATCAAATAAAGTATCAATTCCAGTCTATTGATAGCAGAGTCTTCTGGAAATAATGCACAATACAAGAAACATTTTTGCATAGCTTCATTGCTTAGGTGCGTGTAACTAAATCTCAATGATGAAAATACCCTTTCCATGCCATTTGGCCCAACTCTTGATTGTCTCAGTCGTTCTAAAGCATTACTCCACCCGTGTATGCCATCCACCACCTTCATGGTTCCAGCCATTGTTTTAATTCCTAGCGGCAAACCATCACACTCCTTTGTGATAGATTTTGCAATTTGTTCCACTTCTGTAGAGAGATGTGTGTCATGTCCAAGGATCTCCCTGAACAAAGTCCAAGCATCTACATCAGAAAGAGGATTCACTATGATATTGTTTCGGCAATCCATTCGTCCACAAACCTCTTTTGATCGAGTTGTCATAATTAGCTTGCATCCTTTTAATGGGACGGGAATTCCCACTTCGTGTAGCTCAAATGAGTTCCACAAATCATCTAAAATTAAAATCCATTTTTGTTTCTTCATTAGTTCTAATGACAATTCCGCAGCTATGTGCTCCTCCTCCTCTTCATTGGAAAGAGATAACTTTATACGTTTTGCGATCTTCTTCTGCATTGTAAGAATGCTGAAATTTTGAGACACGGTCACCCAGTAAACATGATGAGAAATATCTGCTAGTAGAAGTTCGTTATAGATATGTTTTAGCATTGTGGTTTTGCCAGCTCCTCCCATCCCACAAATGCTAATGATAGAGACTTTATCATCCATCAACCAAGACCATATCACATTTTTATTCTCTTCAAATGCTCGACCCACTAGCTTTGTAGAGCCAGTTGGTAGAGGAGCTCCTCTCGTCTCACTTGGGTTGTATTTAAGGACTCCAGAAGAGCTAGCTCCTGCGCCAGGCTGCGCTACTCCAATCGTATTCTGCATACCATCATCCATTAACGAATTAATTATCTCCACCCAGCTTTTTTCATACATATCTCGTGCTTGTATACTTGTTCCATCTCCTGTCAAATTGTAGACTTCATTGTTTTGTTCTTGTGGACTGGTTGAAATGGCAGTATGATTCACATTGAGTCCAGAAGAGCTTCCACCTACGCCAGGCTGCGCTAATCTTTCTGTTGCGCCTCTCTCCTGAAGCTCCATGTCTTCGAGCGAAAGATCTTCTCGTTGGTGTGCCATCATCATTTCATTGTTCTGTTGTTGTGCTGAAGCTGAAATTGCATTAGTGACCTCGTTATTGCTTGAGCCACCTAGAGGTTTAGGTTTTTTTGCTGGAGGGCCATCAATTGCTGCAAGGGCTGCATCCTGGACATTTTGAGGCACTTGTGCACAATTTTTAGCACCACCACGTTTCCTTCCTGACAAGTGGTGTTTGATCCTCGTAATGGAAGTACCTTCGGCAAAAAAATGCCCACAAAACTTACACCTCATGCTACGATCATCCATCTTTTCAACATATTCCCAAAAAGATGTGTCAACACGATGCAAAACCGGACCATCCCGTCGAAGCATTTTGATCAGTGGCTCTGTAGAAAAGAAAAGAAAAGAAAAGGATCTGTCAACATGATGCCAAAATGGATCGATCAGGGTCAAAATATTGAATATAAATTAATGGAGGTTACATTAATTGTAAAAGGGAAGGTTGAAACTGAAATAACAAGTTAAAAACAGTAGAGAAATTAAAAAGAAAAAACAATGAATTTAAGGATTATAGAAACTGAGAAAGACAAATTTAATTTGTTTTGGGAACTATAGAATATGATCCTAACTCCAAAGTTTCTCAATAAAATTTCTTACAACTTGTTTTGGCACTTAAAAGATCGAAACAATAATAACATGTGAAGAACAAAGAATAATATACCTGGATTCAGCTATTGATCGATGTTCTTCAAGTGCTGGTTTGCTGAGGCAGTATTCAGAAGAAGAAGAAGCACAAATCAGAGAAGAGTATAGGTTAAGCTGGTTCCTTTTAATTTAATTTAATTTATTTATTTTGATTAGTGCTGCATATAACTAAAAACTTCAACAAAGGAAGGAGAAGCCAATTATTGAGCTTCAGTGAGTTAACGTGTGGACCCACCCCCATTGAAAAAGCTTGTTCTGAAAATGCATGAGCACAGCAACGGAGAGATTGAATAGTGAAACATGCTAACTGTATTTTTTAAAAGTATTTTTAATTTACAAATATATTAAAATAATATTTTTTATTTTTTAAATATATTTTAATTTTATCACATTAAACCAATTCAATAGCAGGTGGCTATAAGAGTCATTGCGCCTCGCGAGCACCTTTACAACTTTAGCAAAGGGTAGCTGCAAGCTGTGTTCCAACTTGTTTTTTTATAGTCTGTCATTAACAGCTGACCTGGCCCAGACTAGGAAGGTGCTCTTGCATTACTAGTTTTTTGTTATTACTATAAATATATATAATAAAATATTTTTAATTTTTATAAAGAATTATCATCGCATGAATTGAACAATCATTTCTCCATTTAAATCTTTCATCAATTCCATATGTTTTCTTGAGAAATTGGAAAAAGAAAAAAATTGAAGGAAGTGAGAGTTTGAGAAAAAATAAGGATATCAAATTGAAGATGGTCACCATTGCTTTATAATCTCTTAAATGATAAGGACTAATAAGTAATTTATTATACTATAAGGATTAATTAATTAATGTTTACAAACTACAAGGACTATAATATAATTGCCTTAAGCCTCAAGCTTGTAATAAAATAAGAGTTTAGACAATAGGAATACTTTTGAGCTCAAGAGAACGATAAAAAGAGATCAAAGAAAGAAAAAACACAGAGAGAGACGCGTCATAGGCCAAAACCAATGATTTTAAACAAGAAAAAAGAAAAGCAAGGAAATCAACAAAAATAAATTGAAGGACGAAAGAGAGACAAGCTTGAAACAAACACAAAACAAGTTCAAAGACTTCCAGTGATCCCCACGATAAAACCAATGGAAACCATCAAAAGCACCAGCTTTTGCTTTCCAAGACAACAGCAACTAGCAACCATTTTAGCCCTTTAAACCATAAAGACATCTAAACACACGTATGGTATCTTATGACTGACTGTTAACCTACCGTATCAGATATGCGGAAGCAGGAAACAAAACCCAAAAAATGGAAACTTGATCAAAAACCAATTTCAACCTTCAAGAACATACCTTACAAAGAGGAAGAAACTCTTCGACGCCTTGAAAATATAACAATTACAATATTCTAGATAACAATCATTCAAGAAGCTGAGACTTTGTTAAATCTCTATTGCCATATTAAAGACAGAAAGGATTAAATAATGAAAAACAAGAGCAGGAAAAGAGAAAAAGAAAAGAAAAGAAACTCTGGGGTAGAGAAATCTGAGCTTGAAACCGAGAGGGGTAATGTGAAAAGACAAGGGAGGACACAGATTGGAAAATGTCCGACAGCGAAATGCGTTGGGAATAAAAAGAGAGCTTGGGTTGGGTCGCTTTCCATGGTTTATCTAGTTCAACATTTTGCCCTTTTAGCTGTGAGATATTACATAGCCGTTGAAACAGGAAAGTTGTGGAGATTTGGGAGGAATATGGGATAGTATGCGTATTTTGAAGAGATAAGCATAAGGAATAGGAAAATTGAATTTAAAGTATTAGGTGTTAAAATAATTTTTTAAGTTTAATTGTTTAGATTAGGGAGGTTATAAAATAAAATTTATTTATATTTTTATTATTATCATTTATTTTTATTTTTATTTTTATTTTTATATTTTGTTTTTGTTTTTGTTTTTGTTTCAAATTATATATTATCTCTTTCTCTTAATTGTTATCTTTAACAAAAGAACATAAATAATGTAATAATCCAATGTGCAACCCATAATCATATGTTAAAGTGTGTGTGTGTAAATTAAAATTTAAGAATACATGTTAAATGAGTATATAAGCAGAATTAAGTGATAACAATATGAGAGTTTGTAAATCTGAATATTTCAAGAAGTATTATGATAAACCTTGTGAAGAATAATTACTAAGATGTATCTTAAGAGTCATAAAAAGATTTCCTTTATCATAGTACAAAGATCTATGAGTTTATAGTGAATATACAGTTAGGTCTAAGAGGAAATATGAAAGATCTCTTTCAATGTGCCTAGACCATCTGGTAAAGCAATGAAGACATCAACATGGTTAAACATTGCATTCATTTAAGCTGACAATGTAGAGACCTGAAGTTCCTCTCCAATTGTTTTTTCAATGATGTCCCCTTGTGCTAAAGTTTCAGGGACAACCCCCAAAACTTGACTACCTCCTAAAAATATAGCTATTGACACACTTCTCATTAACCCTAGACTACCTCCCTCATACACTAAATGAATCTTTCTCTCAGCTGGCACCTGAGCAAGATGATTTGTTGATTCTAAAAACTTATTTTCTTTCCCAGGAATAGATCTATCTAAAACACAAATAGTTCTTATGTGATGACCTAAGGAACTTGTCATTTATACATATTTCTATATTTGTTGAATGTATGGGTTGAGTAGCGTTTTCAATTCCACATTAATAACCTCTATTTTGCTTGAAAATGTGTATCATAGGTTGGAAAGATTTAAATTGAACGGAGTTAATATAAAATAATGTTATTTTATAATAAAATTTAAACATTTTATTAATTTTTTTAAAATTTTATTATTTAATATTAAAAAAATTTTAAATTTAATAATTTAGTATTTATTCAACTACAAATTAACTTTTTTTATTTTTTATTATATAATAAAAAAATAATTTAACTAAGTGGAATTCATAACTAGAATTATAGGTTTGATTGATTTACCAAAAATAATATGATTTGTTTCTTTTTTTAATTATTTTTTTAGATTTTTCTAATCAATGAAATTACATCCAAAAAACTCTCACATAATTAAATTTAAAACTCAAACTAAGTAAAAAAAATTATAATTTATTTAAAAATCTCATGTGTTAGAATCATTCTGGGTGTCAAAGTTTTAATTTTAAATAAAATTTAATCTTTAAATATGGTAAAAAAATAAACTAAAAATCAGCCCCTCTAATTTAATGCAGTAAAAAGGAGAAACTAATGTTGAAAATTAGCTTCTTCAAAATATCTTGATTTATTTATTTTAGATTTTTTAAGTATTTATTTTAGATTTTTTAAGTAATAAGATGATGGCAATGTGTGTAATATAAGAAATATAATTAATTAAATTCTACATCTTTTAAATATATAAATTCAACTTATTCAATTCAATTTAAATTTTATAATTGAATTTAAACACAGAACAACCCAAAAAAATATATTGTTAGGCGTTATGCCATTAGCATATACACGTAAGCATTGGGAATAATTCTCATTTAACTAAATAATTTAGTGTTCATAGGCTTCTCTTCCTTCTCCTTTTTAATTTAACTCTTATTTTTCCATTCAATTTTTTTTATTTCAATTTGGTACATTTTTTTTATTTCATTCACAAACCTATTTTAGCGGTTGCCCAATTTATTTTTGAATTGGTAAATCAACTAAATAATTTAAAATCTAGATTAAGTAAAGTGTTAAGCTAAAAGTTTTTTTTAAAAAATTTTATTATTATATTTTTTTATTAGTCAGTCAGGTTTTTTTTAGATCATTCAAGTTGAATATGTCAAGTCACAATAACTCCCACATAATTTAATTTTAAACATATACTAGCACAAAGTTAATCAAGAAAGTTTTTTTAATGTGAATTTTATTTATTTTTTAATTTTATTATTATATTTTTTTTACTGGGATGCCTTTAGACTGGATAAGTCAATTTTGTCATGTCGTAGTAACTTATATATGATTTAAAACTCATATATGATTTAATTTTAAACTCGAGGTAGATAATGAATTGGTTCAAGAGGTTTGAACATTGACATATTGACTTGGATTTAACAAAAATATCAAATAATTTTATATAACTTAAATATTTTTTGCTAATTGTTTTTGTTTTAAATTGATTTGAAATGAAGTGCGGACTTGTAAACTAACATTGCTCATCAAATTAATTCATTTCAATATCAATTTATGATATAATCCTAATAATCTTTACTTTGGTTTAAATTATATTAAATTCATTAATATAAACTAAAATCCAAGGGTGCCTTTTATTGTAGAAAACATTGTGCACATACACATAAAACATTCATGGACAACTAAAGTATTTATTTTTTGCATGAATTTCGAGACAAGAAAAAAAAAAGAGGGAGAGAAACAAAAAGTTGTAAAAGCCATATTAGTTGGACAACTAGAGTATTTTTTTTTGTATGAATTTTGAGACAAGAAAAAAAAATAAGAAAAAAAAAAGTCGCTAGAACCACATTAAACATCCAACATCGACACTCATTATAATGGCAAAAAAAGCTCGTTACGATGGTTCTTTGTATTCCAAAAAGTACCACCATCAAGTTATGGAGAAGATTGTATATATCATCTTAACTTTGATAAAAAGCATGCAAAATAAGTTATACTAAGTTTTTTTTCTATTAAATAACACAAATAATAATGGATTATCCATTTCAAATGTTTCAGCATATACAAAATAAATAAATAAATAATTAATAATGTTGATATTTTTTATACAATAATGATCTTTTTAGATGGATAATATCTAATGATAATTATGAGCCTATTTTATGGAATTTGCAACTACACTCTTTTCTTCACTTCTAATGGATAATACTTTGTAAATTTATTCAAATGCAATTGAACATTTAAACCATCAACAACTTCTCCAAATGCAAATGGAAGTTGCTTTTCACATGCACAACTTATCTTAAACTATATTTTTTATTAATTTTTATAAATATTTTTTTATTATTACTAAAAATAATGATGAATTTTTGAAACTCAAGTTTTAAAATAGTATTTATAATCATAATTATCAAAATTAACTTAAAAATTAACTCAACTAAGAGACTGAATTCAGAATTTTATAGGGCAATCTGAATTAACTCAAAAAAATAAAATAAAAAATAATTAAAATTTTAATATTTTATATAAATAATTAAAAAAACAATTTATATAGATATAAATTATATATTTTCTAAAACAAAAAGGGTGTCATCCGGTTCGATCTGGTTGACTATGAACTAAAATGGAGATAAAAAGAATCCTCAAATATATA